TACATATGGATGGTATACTAACCATTTTAGAAACTATTTTACATGACACTATTAAACATGCACTTGAATAGATGCCCCCCTTGAGGATACCATTATATTTAGAAGCGCTTTGAGAATCAGATGAACAGGGAGCTTTCTCTTCTGGTGCTTCCAAACTGTGGAATATATTCCCTTCAGAATTCTCATTATTCCCTGCTCTTTCTGCTTTTAGAAAAGGTGTTAAAACACTGACTTGAATTTGGCTTTTTAAATTATTTTAATGGTTTTATTTTGTAATGTTCAAGTGGTGCTTTTTCAGTTTATTTCTGCATATTTATAAACCATTTGGATCTGAAGACTTGAAAGTGTTCAGTAAAAAGAAAATCTGTACAAAATGAAAATACATGATTTATGTTGTCCTTGAAATAGATGGTAGGTTGGACTGAAGTCACCTTGGCCTTCAGTAATATAGATCCAGGACTACCACTGCACTGTACAGAAGGACTCCATTTTGAGCAGGTAAATCTTCCTGTTTCATAGATATGTGAATCACTTGCCAACAAGTCTTCTGTCCTCCCAAAATTCACCTTTAATTTATTATCACTCATTCAGCCTATCACTGAACTTAGCCACTGATCCAGGATTGGTAGAGGGGAACCTACATAAATCACAGCTTCACTTGAAATATGGTTGGGTGTTTATTCCAAATCTCCTGATATCTTCATGGAGGTATTAAACAGCATGAGATTCTGCAGCATTCAATAGCAAAATTGTCAGGGAACCAAGAAAAAGTCTTTAAGGGATCATGCTGTGGAACTTGCCCTGTATGTAGTAGTAGAAGAATTGCTGAGGTACAGTGTTCTCAATTCACTGAGTTCTGAATGTCAAGGACACCATGGTTGACGATATCAAAAGCTGCTGAGAGATCATGTAAGAACTGCATGGCAGCACTCTGTCACTCCCACCTGGCTAATTCATTAGTTTAATCAACGCCAATCCAGCCTTCAACTCAGGTTGAAATTGTCTAAATAACAGGAATCATCCAGAAATTCACTATGACTGCACTATTACACGGACATCCTGTATCCTGCACACACACCTCACAGAAGTATTTGCAATGGATTGTAGTACTTACAAACCATGAAGTTTATTTATTTATTAGATTTCTGTCCCACCCATCTAGACCAAAGTTCTACTCTGGGCGTTTACAAATTTAAAACCAATAAAACCAGTAAGCATATATTATAAATCCAGGATGATTTTGTTGGTTTAAGTGTTATTATTATTATACTACACCAGGACTATCTTGGTTGTTTTTACAGAAAGGCCGTATACTTTTTCAGGACAAAATTTGTTGTTAAGCAGAAAGCCACCTTCTAAGTTCCACACATGGAAACTGGTGGTTTAACTGTGTGGGGATTCACTTACCTATCTTATAAATTAGGCATAGGTTCTCTGCTTCCCTGATTTTAATGAAGGCATTGGACTGGCCCTCCGAAATATTCTAGATGGTGTGTTTAATATGTACAGTATGTTATTTCAGACACTTTGAAATAAGGAGATACAAGGGAAAAGCATATGGGCAACATTGTACCATGTTACCTAAAGTAGCAAGCCTGATTCTCAGTGTTTTTGACAATTTTTAGCTTAGCATAGGGATGGCTAGGTTGGCAGCTGAAAATGTTTTTGATATTTTCAAAGAACATCACATTAAACTCATTATGGTTTGTAGCCCTTGTTTGTATTGGTAAAGGTAAAGGTAAAGGTTCCCCTTGACAATTTTTGTCCAGTCATGTTCGACTCTAGGGGGCGGTGCTCATCCCCGTTTCCAAGCCATAGAGCCAGCGTTTTGTCCGAAGACAATCTTCCGTGGTCACATGGCCAGTGCGACTTAGACACGGAACACTGTTACCTTCCCACCGAGGTGGTCGCTATTAATCTACTCGCATTTGCATGCTTTCGAACCGCTAGGTTGGCGGGAGCTGGGACAAGTGATGGGTGCTCATTCCGTCACGTGGATTCGATCTTACGACTGCTTGGTCTTCTGACCCTGCAGCACAGGCTTCTGCGGTTTAGCCCACAGCGCCACCACGTCCCTTGTTTGTATTGAGTTCTCATTTATTTCTTTCCCCCATCTCCCAATGTGCTGTAAGGCTTTGCATCATTAAAAAAAATCCACACACAATCTTTCTGAGGGCATGGCACTGTTTTTCCTGAGCTGCCTCCAAGCGAGTGGTTTGGTTAGTGCAAATTGCCCTGCACTAAACATGGAATATGGTGGAGAATCCAGTTGTTGCAATCCTCCCTTTGTAATCTTTTTGTTTTCCCTCACTGCTGCTTCTCATCTTTTTTCTTTCTTTCTTACGAGAGGAAGTTTATTGAGGAACTGCATCATTTTTTGAATGGGTAACCTCAGGAGTCTTCTGTCATGTGTTGGAGCTTGGGTTTATTGAAAGTTTTTTGCCCTTTATGTTATTTCTTTAAAACATGGCATAAATAAACATGAAATCCACATTGTCTCCAGGAGGGACATGGTATGGTTGTTGGAGGTTATTTGATGAAGCCATGAAATAATATGGGTGCCTGAATTGATTTGATGTGTATACAGTATTTCACTATTTCTAGTGGCTGTCATGGGTATGAAACAATTACTCTGCCTGTGGATAACTGGATATGAAGTAATGATTGAAATTGTGTTGCTTGACAGAGTAAGTTGCAATTGGAGTAGGCTCTAGAGCCATCAACTTTAACTGGAGTCAACAGATCAAATGATTGGTTAAAAAACAACAACAAAATTTCAAAGCATTAACCACTGCATGGTAGTTGCAGCATATTGCCCCTGTTGTCTACGATAAATAAAATACATCTAGATCTGCAGCCACATGTCCATCAAGGCTGAGTTTATACGATGTTTGACTTGAATTCAGAGATGAAGGAAAACTCAATGATGTTTCAGAATTTTTTTAATGTACTGATCACCATTTTGGGGAGGGCAGCTCTCCTCTGACTTTTGTATAAACAACAGCAGTATAGAATGCTTTTATTGTATTAAGAAAGTGACAGTTCACTAGTTAAGAGCAGTCAGCGCTTGTATATTTGTGCAATTACTTTTTAATTTCTTTTCCTAAACTATTGCTTTAAAAATCATTTAGGATTAATTAGCACAGCTATTCAGGGTTATTAGCTGGTGTTCTTTTAAAGCTATTTCCTAGATGGTCTCATCAGTTAGCAAATAAAACACACACACACACACCCATTAAGCCCTCCTGGCGTATTCTGGATACAATGAATACCCATGTTCTCCTTCCTCCTCCATGCTTGATTTTTGTATCATGATGAGTACGTATGAGGACGTGGTGGCGCTGTGGGCTAAACCGCAGAAGCCTGTGCTGCAGGGTCAGAAGATCCGGCAGTCGTAAGATCGAATCCACGCAACGGAATGAGCACCCGTCGCTTGTCCCAGCTCCCGCCAACCTAGCGGTTCGAAAGCATGCAAATGCGAGTAGATAAATAGGTACCACCTCGGTGGGAAGGTAAACAGCGTTCCGTGTCTAAATCACACTGGCCATGTGACCACGGAAAGATTGTCTTCGGACAAACACACACACCCATTAAACCCTCCTAGCGTATTCTGGATACAATGAATATCCATGTTTTCCTTCCTCCTCCATGCTTGATTTTTGTATCATGATGAGTACGTATGTGTATGGAGCTGGCATGTGTCAGGTTTTGAACACACTTCTGTATTGTTTACAAGATGCTGGAAATCACCCCAAAGTTTTTGGTTCTTCAGAGTAAGGTAGTCACCTTCAGAGTAATGTAGGCTTAGGGGGGAATTGAAGAGTTCTTGCGCTAAGATATAAATCAGGAATGGCCAATTGTGCATTCACACATAGTTTATTCTAGCAGACATTATTCAAGAGGCTGTAACTATCCAATCAACTAATGGTTGCTTAGGCCCTGATTTATTAAGATATTTAAAAATACCTTTCCCCAATGTTCACAACTGCTGACATAAAATGATTTTAGGAATAATGTTTCAACAGGCCTGTTTTCCTTGGTTATAGGGATTTCTTGCTAATGTCCCAGAGTGTTTTGTTGATGTTTCCTCTTGGAAGTTAATGGCAAAAAGAAACCTGAACATTTGTCTTGAATTCTTTGTCTTGTTGGTGATCTTTGAGAATGTGGATAGCCCTGTTAATGTAGGGGGAAAATGTGAAGTCATGTAATTTTAGCAATGACTATATGTGTGTGTGTGTGTGTGGGTGTGTGTGTGTGTGGGT